ATGCGTGCAGTACATCTAGTAGATCTACGTAAGTCATGAATGGTGGGATAAAGTTTACGATTACTGATGCGTGCAGTACATCTAGTAGATCTACGTAAGTCATGAATGGTGGGATAAAGTTTACGATTACTGATGCGTGCAGTACATCTAGTAGATCTACGTAAGTCATGAATGGTGGGCTAGAGTGTACGATTACTGATGCGTGCAGAATGAACCCAGAGGCAAAGGATACTTGGGTGATGCGTGGGGAGGAGGAAGGTGTTAGCCAGTGGACTAGGGTTAGGGTTAGGGAGTAAGTGTGTTGGGTTGGGTGGTTAGCGTGAGGGTTAGGGTTAGGGTACCAGGGTGTTGAGTGGCTGATGTGAGCGGTTAGGCTTAGGGTTGGGGAGTCAGTGTGTTGAGTTGGGTGGTTAGCGGAGGGTAAGGCGAGGGTTAGACGAGGGTTAGGGTATTAAGTGGCTGATGTGAGCAGTTAGGCTTAGGCCTAGGGTTGGGGAGTCAGAGTGTTGAATAATAATTGTTAGGGTTAGGGAGTCCGTTTGTTATACTTATAGGGGGGTTAGGGTTAGGGTTAGAGTGTCAGCTTATTGAATGGTTAGGGTTAGGATAAGGGTTGGGGTATGAGCGTGTTGAGCGGTTAGGATTAGGGTACTGGGTAAGGGAGTCAAGCTTGTTGAGTGGTTAGGGTTAGGGTAAGGGAGTCAAGCTTGTTGAGTGGTTAGGGTTAGGGTAAGGGAGTCAAGCTTGTTGAGGGATTAGGGTTAGGGTAAGGGAGTCAAGCTCGTTGAGGGGTTAGGGTTAGGGTAAGGGAGTCAAGCTTGTATTGTTGAGTGGTTAGGGTTGGGGCATGAGCGTGCTGAGTGGTTAGGGGTTAGGGTAAGAGAGTCAAGCTTGTTGAGTGGTCAGGGTTAGGGTGTGAGCGAGCTGGGTGGGTGGACTGCTGTAAGATGTAGGGTCAGGGTTAGGGTGTGAGCGAGCTGGGTGAGTGGACTGCTGTAAGATGTAGGGTCAGGGTCAGGGTGTGAGCGAACTGGGTGGGTGGACTGCTGTAAGATTTAGGGTTAGGGTTAGTGTGTGAGC